CCAGAGTAGGACCCAGAGTGTAGAAAATTGTGTCTGCTGCTGGTGCATATGTATTCTCTCTGCTCTAGATCCACAGAGATGGTGGAATGCTGTGCTGGAGAAAAGAGAACACAAGAGACATAACAGGCAGGTGAAGGGTCATGGGGGCGTCATTTGAGCTCCCCGCCTCAGGTGCCAAAATGTTGTGGGCCAGCCCTGAATGGACGATAGGTTGCTAACTGGCAATGGAACTTGAGGTGCTTAGTAACTTAAAAGCTTTAGAAAACTTTGCCCTGAATACTTTGCCAGTAAAATCCCCACCCAATGCTTTCCAGATTTGAATAAATCCTACTAGTACTCTCTGTGATGAAGAGAAATTAATATTTTGTGAATTCATACTAATAGAGGATCATATTTAGATGGTAAGTCCAAGCCACTTGGCCATGGCTGCACTGCTAGGTTTTGCACACTAACTCACTCAAAGCTAATGTCTATACGTCTATTCAGGCTAACAACTATGCCTCTATACTGCAGAGAAGACATACTCTTTGAGACTACAATGAAACCCTGTAGTAGGCCATAGATGCTGAACTCGGAGTTCTGGGGATACTACTGCACACCCTGATTTGAAGTAGTTTCCATCATACACAGCAGTGGTTTCCAACCTTTTTGATACTGGAGACCAGCAAACCCATTCACAAACTTTTGGCAGACTGGCAACATTTTATTTGCATATTTTCTTAATCATTATACAAATTATGAATATGTAAATAGAACATTACTGGTCCACCAAAGCCCAGCCCAAAGTTCCAAGTATCAGCCTAAAAACAGTCACCTCATAAGAATGTATGAGAATTAATTAATATACATGAAGTACTTGAGATTCCTGGCTTCAGAACTTTTCAACAAGAAAAGCCCGGCAAGCTCAGTATCCTGCTTGCAAGAGGCTGTTGCCAAATGCTTGTAGGAAGGTGAAAGGCCCCATACTGGGCATAATGAGCAACTATACAATGGGCCACGTGGAGAAAAGTCTCTCCTGTACTGCTGGGACACTTACTCTCCTAGGGTATGTCTACACTGCATCCCTAGTTCGAACTAGGGATGCAAATGGAGACAATCGAAGTAGTTAATGAAGCGGGAATTTAAATATCCCGCGCTTCATTAACATGATCTCGCCGGCGCGCTAGTTCGAATCACAGCTGATTACTTAAGTCTGCAACTCCCCTCTGCCCCTGAACAAGGGCTGGAGAGCTGAGAACTGTTACAAAAATGCCAAAAAAATGCTACTTACTTCACTGCTGATCAAAGGCTGTAACAGAGGAAAAGTACAACCTCCCTATACAGATGTGTACAGCACACTCTGAGCCACATCTCACTTGGGCACAAGTACACAGCACTTGGGAGAATAACCCCATTTATCTCTCCAGCCCCTCTATCTTGTGGAGCCACCAAGCAGGCCAGAAGGAAGAGAGGTCTGAGGCCACGGGTCTGTCCCAGCCTCCCCCAGAAAAGCTAAGTGCAGCAGGGCTCAGTGGTGTAATCACGCCCCACCCCAAGGCAGGCTCAGGCTTAGGTGACCCAGCAATGTGCATATTATCCTAACAGGTCTGCACGGAGCAGTGTCTCATTTGGATGCCCGAGGGGACACAGCCTGGCAGTGCCGAGGTGTTTCCTATTTGACTCTCCCTTCAGCAGAAGGTGCCGCCGCTTACCTCTCCCTCCGCCCTGCTCTCATGCTCAGGACCCAGACGATGGGTGCCCCTCAATCCGGCCAGCAGGGACACCGCCCTTATTCACTTACCAGGCAAAGGCTACCTGCGCTGCGGCTGTTCCCAGCCCTCCCCGCTCTGAGGGGTCGCCGCGGGCTCTGCGTCTCCCTAGTCTAGCTCTGGGTCCCCCAGTCCCAGCGCTGCCCCTTTGCTCTCGTGCCCGGCTGCGGGGGGCGGGGCCTGCGGCTTCCTCGCCCGCATAGCCACGCCCTGGGTGGCAGCGGCCCCGCCCCCGGAGGGGGTCACCCACGCCGCGCTCCCCCGTCGCCGCTGCAAGGGGCGTGGCTCTGGGAGGGAGGGAGGCGGGCCCGAGCCCGGGGCTGGTAGAGTCCCCGCTCCGCACTGGCCGCTCGCACTCAGCACCCAAGGCCGCGGAAGCTCGGGCTGCGGGCGCCGCCGCTGCTGCTGCGCTCCGCCCTCGCTCTGTCCGCCGCCGGCCGGGGCTTTCGCTGCGCCCTGCTCCGGGGAGCCGCTCGCTATGAACGCAGCGCGGGCCCTGCTCTCCGCCGTGTTCCTCATCAGCTTCCTGTGGGATTTACCCGGGTTCCAGCTGGCGTCCATCGGCTCCTCCAGCCAGGCCATGAGCAGCCGCCGAGAGGCGAAGGTGGCCAGGTCCCCCCGAGGCATCCCCGCCCCGGCGCAGCAGCGAGCGGAGCCCCACGAGTACATGCTGTCTCTGTACAGGACCTACTCCCTAGCGGAGAGACTGGGGATCAATGCCAGCTTGTTTCAGTCCTCGAAATCCGCCAATACCATCACTAGTTTTGTAGACAGGGGACGAGGTAAGTTCAAAGAGCTCATCCCTCGGCCCGGGTGTGCGGGGGTGTGCATGGGAGCCCGCTCCTCGAGCCCAAAGCCCGAGTAAGCCCAGCTCGTTCCCAATGTAGCCACGCGTGGCAGAGCTTTTCTCTCTGGGCTGCATTTGCTCCACAGCCGGTCTCCGGAGGAGAATCTTTGATTTGGATTTTTCTGTAAAAAGCGAAAGATCGGGAAGTCGGATCTTATTACTAACTAGTGGATTTTTTTAAAAAGCAAAAAGGGTAGCCGCTCCATCCGGATTGCAGTGACCGTGGGTTTACATGAGCGAGCCGTGCACGATCGCTCCTGAATTTGCAAGGGATATTATTTTTTTTAAAGATGCACCCGCTCTTGAGCGTAAACGTAGCCTTAAAAAAACGGCTCATCTTTTTATGTCCTTCTTGCAAAAGAAAGGATCGCTCTTATCGCTTCAGCTGGAAGGCAAATAGAAAGTTCAAACCGACTGCGGGCAAACATTTACTGCCTACAGCGGCTCTAATTTATCAGGGTTGCTTTTATCAAGATTGCCTGGAACGAGACCAGCTCCGTTTGCAATCACTCAGAGTAGGAAGCTGCGTTTAATTGGGCTCTTCTAAAGAAGTGCCGGCTAGTTCGTGGAAGCTGCACTTTACATCCAGGGAAGTCTTGTAGCAGAGCTTTCGCTGATAGGCGCAAAACTCATAGCGGGGAGGGTTGAAAGTTGCTTTGATTTGCTCCTTCTCTTTGGGCCCGATCCCGCTTCCATTAAAGCCCCTGGGTTAACTCTCGGCGACCTCATGGATTCCGGTGGCTGCAGGATCTGCACTCCCTCGCTCTTTTGCGTTGTGTTGTGCATGAGCATCAGCTCTTCTCCCTCATCCACTGCAACAGGTTAATCTTAGCGATCCATACGAGCGGGCGGAGACCGCCTTGTTCTTGAGTACCCCATGAGACCAGGAGGGAAGACCAGTCTTAAGACCGTCTCACATTGAAAGGTAGTTGAACTGCCTCTCCCAGAGTTTGACAGCCCTTGCAGTGGTCCCGGGGAAGTTGAGGTTCCTTTGGGACTGGGCTGTTACCTTGGCTTGTGAGCCATTAGTGTCAGAGGACTTACCTGGTTCTTAAAGAGGGCTGAAAATTCTCTTCCCCTCCTCCCCCGCGCTCCCTACAACCTGAACTGCACCTCTGGGTAGAGCAAGCTGCTATTTCAGCCGGGTCCGTTCGCTCCTGAGCGCCCCGGACAGCTCATTAATTAACTGCCTATCTTTGACTAGTCTTTGGATAAAAGTCAGCTTTGAAGCGCCGCGTGGCTCTTTTGCAGACACACGAGCTGGTAGTTAGTGCCCAGCTTCAATCCAAAATAAAGAGCAGCCGAGACTTGTTTGCCCCCTACCCTCTTGTCTGTTCTGTGGAGCGACAGCCTCGTCCCGAGTGCCAGCGCCTGCCTGCCTTCGCACGCTGCTCCCGGGCCAGGACTCCGGCAGGTCCCGAGGTAATAGGCGGGCGCGTTCCAGTCTCGTTCTTTTCAGGTGGCCAAGGAAGAAAAGCTCGGGAGGGCTAAAAGCAAATGTGTTTTCAAACTCCGCATCCCCCCGTGTCTACTCCGTTTGATGTGGCCCCGATGGGGTTAATTTTAAAAGCGTCGCTCGTTCGCAGTCATCTGCTCGCTCAGGAGTCGCTTTTAGGACGGCGATGCTGGGGACGAGCCGTGAACAGTTTTTAGACGCGAAGTAAAATATGCCCGTAAAGGCGAAGTGCTTTTTGTTGCTTGCTTGTGTTGTAACGGCTCCTTCTGTGTGAGGGGAAAATACCCTCAGGTCAGGGGTAGTGTCTAGGAATACATGAAAAGAAAAGGAAAAGCTTCGTTTTCCGGTTGAGTGTATTTGTTTAAAGTTATTTTCTGAAATGAGATTTCCCTCTCTGCCCTAACAAACAATTCCCCTGCTCGGCTCCCCGCAGACTTGCGTGCAGAGGAAAAGTAGCGCTAGTAGTGCAAGCCGCATAAAACCACCTTCAAGATCATCTGATTCTTGATCACTAGAGGAAAGTCAGTTAATTTAACAAATTTAGCTCGTCTCGCTGCATGGCGGGGTCTGCTCTGGGGGAAGTGATTTGCGAACAGAAGTCCCGGTTTGATGAAGAAAAAGAGGCTTTCCCCCATTGATTTTGATTTGATGTGTCACAGGCTTTGACCTTGTGCTGGACCTTCTATGGGTTGCTTAGCATCAAGCCGCTGATTGGAGTATTTCAACTCAGTGATCTAATTGAGTGTTCATGTCATAACATATCAAATATTGTCTAGTCTTCCATAATGAAGTGGCTCAGCCAATGGCACATCACCAAAAACTTCAAGAGAACTTCCGTTCCTCTGAAGTGGTAGCTTTTTTACTGCCCACCTCCCTGTGGGCTCCTCGCCCAGTTAATTGCCGAGCTGGAGTTGTATTGCTGCTGAACAGTTCCTGCTCAGAAACGTTTCTGTCAATTCATTTGCAGACAATATAGCCCCCCAATTGACCCAATTAGATAGGCTGCTATTTACCTAACTGGGCATTCTGGAGGAGACAGTGGTAGTCATACCTTGTCTGCCCACATGACCCTGTTAATTGCAGGGGTTCGTAGATAACCATTGGGGCGGAGTATAAAGAGGGCAAAGAATCCTTTGGCCACATAAAGACATTCAGTTCCCAAACCTGTTCCCCGGGTGGGCAGAATTTCTAGAGGAGTGAACCGGAGTAAGAGAGATCTTCTTATTGGATGATCTGCAATTACTTTTTTTAAAAGGGTTTTCTTGGATTAACGCATGGGATTGCAGCCAAAGATCCGTCCAGTATACACCCAAAATCGAGCGAAGGTATTGTCTCAGTAACAAGTTAAGAAGGCGAGCGCGGTTAACTCCAAATATTTTCTTCCCCTTCGTGTTGTTGTTGTTTTCTTTCCCCTACAGTAATGAGATCACTTTCGGGATAGTCTGACAGGGGAAGGAAGCTGCACTATACTGCATTATTTTAAAGCGTTAAAATAATTCTGGAAGGGAGGGAATAGGTTGTGAACCCCTCCTCCCCCATTTTGCCACCCCACCCCGCTTGTTACGGTCTCCAGATCAGACAGGACCTCGCTGAATGTAGGAAAATTACTGTTGGCACATGAAGTAACTCATTAAAACGCAGATGGTGCTCGCTGGCCTCAGGACCCCCAGCATTGGAGCTCCACAGTAAAGCAGGACAATTAAGAACCGCAAGGACACAGGAGGCAGGAGAGGAGGGAGCTGCGAAAGAGAGAAATCAGCAAGGAAATTGGCAAAGAAGAAGAAATGCAGAATAGGTCAGACACAAAGGCAGTGTCAGGGCGAGCTGCTTTCCAAAGAATAAGGCGGGTTGGCTCTTAGGTTAATGTCAGATTTCCCTTTTGGATGCAAAGTTACCAGGTCGGTTCCAAATAAGAGGCAATCCTAATTAAACGGAAGATCTATGCAGCAAAACACAGTAAGATCTGCAAATGACTGATGAATTTGAACGTGATATAGATCGTCTCATTTCCTCAGCGCGTCTTACACTTGCAGGCTAAAAAGTCTCAGAGGGGTAGCCCTGTTAGTCTGTAACTTTCAAAACAAAGAGTAGCCCTGTGGCCCCTTAGAGGCTAGGTCTGGTGAAGTGGGTCTTCCCCATCTATGCAGCAAAACACAGTAAGATCTGCAAATGACTGATGAATTTGAACGTGATATAGATCGTCTCATTTCCTCAGCGCGTCTTACACTTGCAGGCTAAAAAGTCTCAGAGGGGTAGCCCTGTTAGTCTGTAACTTTCAAAACAAAGAGTAGCCCTGTGGCCCCTTAGAGGCTAGGTCTGGTGAAGTGGGTCTTCCCCAGGGAAGCTCATGATACTTGCAGGACAGTTCATGAAGACGTTTACAGGAATCTGATTGTTATTTTTGTTGTTGTTGTTTCCATTTGATGGGGGAGGGGGAAGAGGACGTCCTCGTACAAAATCTGAACATGTCCCGGCTGTTCCTGTGGCAGGAGACCAGGAATGCAAAGCCCACTTGAAGTTCATTTTGTGCAGCATGTTTATGCAAAACAGCGGGTTTCTGGGTGGACCTAGAGCCGCGGTGCGGCGTGATCAGTGCAGAGCCTTTGCCCAGGCAGTGTTGTCGTTGGCAAAAGGCAAATGAAATATAAGCAGGGAAGTATTTTAATGGGGAAGGAGGGAATTCACAACTGTTAATTATTTGGTGACCTTGTATTCGATTTGTTTGAGCCCCTTGTAAAAACCCTAATGCAGACCAGACGGCCCAAGTGAGGGAGCCTGCAGAAGGTTCCAATCTGCGCTTTATATCCCTGGTAAGAGGCAGGAGCCTTGGAAAGAGCAGAGGGGCTGGCGGCGGCGGTGGCGGCGAGTTTGCAGTGCCCTGCCGAACTGGGCTGGGGGACATCTTGCCTCTTTGTTAAGCACCAGGAGCAAGAAGGTCGCGACAGAGATCCTGCCACTGAGCACGAGCGAGAGAGAGAGGGCGAAGGGCTGGGTTTTTCTGTTCCTGGGCTTGGGCTGGGGGCAGCCACAATTCCTTGTGGCACATTTTCTTTGGCTGGTGTGTTTCTCCTCTGTCGGCCCTGGGAGCGGAGCTGGGAGCTGTTGGGACGGTAGCTGGGAGGAAGCAAGTGGGAGGATACAGAAAAATGTATAAAACAGTTGTAAAGC